TTCGGGGGGATCACAAATTGAGAGTCAACAATGTGATGCAGTTGCAAAAAAGGCTGACATTCTGGGGCGTATTAACAGGAGCGCTGCATGTAAGACAGAGGGTAATTGTTCACTTCTACTTGCCACTGGTGAGGCCTCAGCTGGAGTACCGTGTCCAATTCTCAGCACCACACTAAGAAACATGTGGACAAGCTGGAGAGAGTCCAGAGGAGATCAGCAAAAATGAGAAGAGGTTTAGAAAACCTGACCTATCAGGAAAAGTTAAAACTGGGCATATTTACTCTTGAGAAAAGAAGACCGAGAAAGGACCTGAAAAGAGTCTTCAAATATGTTAAGGGCTCTTATTGACAGGATGGTGATCAATTGTTCTCCATGCCACAGACGGAAAGACAAATAGTAAGATTAATCTACAAGGGAGGTTTACGTTAGATATCAGGAAAAAATGTCTATCTAGAAAGGATAATTAAGTACTGGAATAGGCTTTTAAGGGAGGTTGTGGAATTCCCCTCATTGGTGGACAAACAGCTGTCAGGACAGGGCTAGATTTACTTGGCCCTGCTTCAGTACAGGGGGTGGACTAAATGACCTCTCAAGGTCTGTTCCAGCCCTACATTGCTATTATTCTATGATCTTTTGGCTTGAGTGATCATGCCCAGTAATGCCAGTTTCATCTCAGCCAGATTAGTCAACCAGATGATTCCATCTGCACCCAGGAATCAGTTATGTTCCATTATAAAGAAAAGTACAGCATTCCCAGCTGGAGAAAAACATTTTCCCCCACAATATGTTCTCTGTGGCTCTGCATGATGTGCATTTGTTATTTGGCTACAGCCCTGATTTATATAGCACGTCAGCAAACTTTGCATCTAGCACATTGCACGGTTGGTGGTTTTAAATTAAATATTATGGAGAAAAAGAAAATAGCTTCCCTGCAGTTGTACTACTTGCTCTGTGACAAACCTCAGTACTTCTCCCTTAAGCAGTGCTTTCCACATTCAAATTGATTTATAATTTTCATTCACACCCTGATGAAGTACTGGCAATCTCATTTCTAGCTGATAAATGGAGGTACAAAGGCTACTGCAGGCTCCCAGACAGAGATCATGTCAGAGCTTGCAATAGCACTAGGAACATTGCAATTGCCGTAATGGATCAAATCTCTGGTCCATCTAGTTTAGTATCTGGTCTCCAACAGTGGCCAGCATCAGATGCTACAGAGGAAGATGTAAGAAACCTTTTAAAAATCGCCAGAAATTAGGAGTTTGGCTTAAACCCTGAAGCAAGAGGCCATGGGCTTGTCTACACTTACTGGGGGATCAACGAGCATCTCCAGTCGACAAAGCGTAGGGCGGACCCCGCAGTAAGTAGATCTAAGTACATTGATTTCAGGTACGTTATTCACATAGCTGAAGTTGCATAACTTAGATCAATCTCCCCTCCTAGTGTAGTCAAGGCCCTAGAGTTCCTGGCACT